GACGTCATTGCCCCCGAACGAGGCGATATCGGAATGTTCGAGGCTGAACGTTCTCTATGGCTCTCAATGGGACAATATTTTTTTTTCTACGACGGAGCGCCTCTCTCTCCATTATGTTTTTTCACGCCTTGTTATTTTTCGTATTCATATCCACAAAAGGAGGCTTAACAGGATACGAAGAATAACAGAATGCGTTAAAAAAAAAGAAAAAGGCGAGAAAAAAGGTAAGCGCATGGCAAAATGCCAGAGCTCCTAAGAGTACGAGCCAGTACTACTTAAGGATGAGCAGCAGCACAATTTCTACATTGCGACCCATAGCGCCTTCTGCCTTCACCCTCAGAATTTGAGAGTAGCGAATACTTAAGTAATCAGGACATCTACGACATAGCAAAAAAAATACTCTGGAAAATGATTCTCAAATGAAGAAGCATTCCCGAATTCATCACCCAAGACAGTGCTCAGAGTATGTAGCCTTGCTAGTTTCCTCGGAAGCGCAATGAGGCGCAAATAGTTCGGTCTATTTCCAGAATAAGGCACAATCTACTATAAATCTACTACCGTTTTATGAGTTTTCACTGCATTACATAGCCCGGATCGGGAAAACACCTGCAGTCCCGCAATTCGGCAAAAAAATGTAGCCATCCGGATGCTTACCATGAAGCCCCCTTAGGACTTTTTTCTAAAACCACTTTCTAGAATAGGCATCAAAATGAGCTAAGAATGACGTTTGCCCTTTTGAACAACTCGGAACAATAGGTAAATCTGAAGGAATAAGTTCAAATCGTGAAAAATGTGTTGTCAAGTCACCATAACGATCATACAATGCGAATAGTGATCGTAATTGACTGAAGGTTATAACCTACATTCGACGAGCGCCGACCTTCCTCCGGACAGAATACCTTGTGGCAGTTTGCCTCCTGGATTTAGGCCCTTGAGTTGCAGCACCGTCTCGCTCTCGTGTCTTTAAATGCGAATTCAAGCACTTTGTGAATTTACTTCTTACTGTTTTCAATTTCAAACGTCTTAACTTTACTCGAGAAAGGAGAACTTTTGTTATGTTAATATTTAAAAAAAAACACCGTGCAAAACAGTGTATTGTTGTTGTATCACACCAGAGCGGACAGGCGCATCACATCTCAAAGAAATCAACGAATTCACATCGGGTTAGAGGGCTACTAAAGAGGACGACAAACGCCACAATGAGATGTTTCCATCTGACTCGGTCCGTCGGATAGGTCGGAAGCGAACAGTCTCAGTCGGTACATTCGATTGCGAGTAAGCTATTGCACCTACCCTCTTGTACTCCACGTCTACCCTCATGCAGTATGCCCAACGGCAGCGTACCAGTTGGCGTGAGACCTTTAAGTGCCAACACCGTTTCGCTTTCCTCTCTGAAAACAGACATGAGACACATGCGCCTGACACACTCGGCACACAAACTTACTGTACTGTTAAATCCATAGCCACACGAAAAAATAATTGATTACAGTAGAAGCGCTGGCAAAGCGTGAATAACCAGATAGACGGTTAGAACATATAGCAAAACGAAACTCAGAGTCACAACCATCTAAGCTTCAGGGATGCCACTTCATAAGCGCTGTCTAACCCCTTCTGTCCACTGTATTCTCATAACTTAGCCGCAATAACCCTCCACCAAATGCTCGTTACACAAAACAAAACATTTAACCTCCCAGATAGCTCCAGCGTTGTGCAAATGTACCCGCCGCAGAGAGTGGTTTGCGCGGTAAATGCTCGTTCGGTCTTTTTGCTGTGGGTCAGTTTAGAAGGATGTTCCCTCGAACATGGGAACACTACTGTACTCTGCTCTTCAAGCTCAGCGAGACTCTTTGAGCTATTCTTAACTTTGCAAGAGCTTAAGTGTGCAGAGCGTATTCTCAAGGAAAGGTTATTTCGTCCTAATTTGGGAAGATATTCATGGAAAAGTTGAACGATGCCGAGCTCAGTCAGGGCTGTGCAGAAATTTTGCGGCAGATATGTTCTTAAGTAAGCGCTCCCTCTGCTGTCTAACCCGTAATATCGGTAGATGACAGACACCGACGGATTCATTATTATTTATTTACTAAACCAAATTTTATAGGGGCAATGAGCATTGATTGAACTTCTGAAAATCAAATGCTACGTAATAATAAAAGGACCGAATCCAGACAAGATTTCAAGTAATGTCTACTTCATGCCTCATGTTCTTCCACCAGTTCTAGGTGGCGACACGGTATGCGGCGATGGGTCCGCGCGTAGGAAATCATGGCAAGATCTCGTGCCAGCGAGCCCACCATTTCCGCCCCATGCCGTGCCGATCACGTACATCTAATGCTGCTGTCCCGGAGTAGAAGGTTTGAGCAGGCAAGGCTGTAAAGCAGAAAGGAGGATTAAGGGTGTCATTGCATAGAATTGATCATAGTAATTGAACAGTACGCAATGCATCCGTGTAAGATGATTCGGTAAGGAGATAGAAGGTAATTAACTAGAGGTTGTCGCGTTCTGATATTGAAGGACACAGAAAAGAGGAAGCGCATATGTCGGATCAAGTGTGCTGAAAATTCACCGCAGCCTTGACTCTGGTCCGGAATAGCTCATAGATTCCACCCCTATCTTCTCAGAAGAGGACGAAATTTGCTACCACATTTAAGGGTACGCCTCAAAATCAGCTCTTACCGAGTAAAACTTTTACGGGACTTTCAACGTCATCTAGCAAAGCTTGAAGAGCTGAGATTCAATGTTCCCCAGCTTCAAAAAAAAATGAAAAGAAAACTAAGTTCAATGCGCAAATTCAAGAGTCCCTGCGGCGGGTAATGTATTTGTACGGGAAACGGGAAGGAGGCTAACACTAGGGAATAACGCAGGGGATTCCGGTATCTATATCATTAAGACACACCGACAGCTCGGGGCATTAACACTCTTCAAACTGATACCGGGTGAATGAAACTCAACACATCATCAGCAATAAGCCCTCATGTCTCGTACTGATTGAAGAAAAAACAACAACAAAAAAACGATTCACTACAAACTTTCTATCTAAAAGGTAACAACAGAATACAAATACGGTACCTGAGCACAGAGAAAGCACGCGCCATTTTTCCTATAGCCCGAATCTTGTGTCGGATCACCTCTTTTCGTGCTGATGGTACTCCACCTGAAATCGTGAACACTTCTGAAACAGGCCTTGGCAGCTCACCCAACCTCGGTTCAGTCGGATTACACATCGCTTGGCGCAATCTTCGCATGCGCGGGATTTCAAGCGTTATGTCAAAGATGGCCGCTTGGACGAATTGAAATCCTCTCAAAAACAGCTTTTTGTGCTCAGCTTACGTCTGATCTTCTTACTGAGATGGAGGATCCTGAGGTCGAGTAATCTAGTCGAGAAGAAACAAATGAACACTACATTTCTAGTACCAGTTTCCAAGTATATAAATTAGAGCCATGAAAGTAAGATGGATGTCCGATGCTGACATGAGAATCGGTATGGTAATTCACTACTTCAGGGTACTTCTGAGACACGGTTGCTTTTCCAGGTTTCCTTTTTTCAACCTAGTGCGTATCAAACGAATATCAGGGGTCTTATAACATTAGTTGGGCTTAGATGACCAAAAAGGGTGTGACAACCTGTTCGTCTTATTCTCTCTTAGAGCTAATTTCTGCAAGTGTTTCCTGGCTTTACTCCTACTTGTAAGGTAGGAAGATTACTCAGGTAAAACTCTAAAGGATAAAGGATAAAGCTTCTAGCGTTAATCAAGGGATCAACCCAGGACCTGAGGTATGCGCCCCCGCACTCGACTTCCATTCAGAGTCGTAGTGGCATAATGAATGCGTATGTAGCCTATACAATGACCTGCGGTGGCCGGCCGATGTACAAGTCAGTGCTTTTACCCTCCCAGACTAATGGTAAACTGGAACCAATTAACCGTCCCCACAGGAATGGAAGGCTTGGTTATCCTAGGCGGATATCGGTCCGAAATTCGAACCCCTGACCATGCGTGTGAGCTAGTGCGTCAGTTGCCACTACACCACCTCCACCCGGGTAAAAGCTTATCATTGAGTAGAAGCACCTCCTAACACCTGAGACATCTACTTTTACTTTCACAGCTCTTCTTCTGTTCCACTATATGTAGCCTATTCGAGAAACGTGACATAACGCTTGAATGCAGGATCGTACCCAAATGAGCAGTGCCGTGTTGCTTGCACACAAAAGGGATGATCGCTAACTGCAGACCTCAACTAATCTCACGAAAACCGCCACGAACGCGACATGGAACCGAGGTTGGTTTCGGGAGACTGGCATCAAAATGAAAATTAGAAAAACACTGCAGTTAACTACAAATCCAGTTCAACTGAATACATGGAATGACTGAAAAAATCGAAAGGAAAAAAACACTAGCACTAATTACGGCTATGGAAGGCGAAACTCGACGGTGGCCACGAAAGCATTTTGGTGGTGACGAGCTAATGAAAAATTGGCAAAAATAAATTGCTCGTGGGTCACGGGGAAATATGGGAAACGAATGAATGGCTGTGCAAAAATGCTAATGCGATAGGTAAATGCCGAAGTTCCTCAGCGAAAAAATGCTGCTGCAGCTATGGACAATGTACAAAGAAAACCATTCAGCTAAAAGCGCACAATGGCCACCTCTAGGAGAGGCCAGCTTGCCCTCCACACTTCATTTCGTTTTACACTACATTACCGCTACACTAGCTGAAAGTAGCCTAGCGGTGGCGGTCAGATGGCGGTCGTATCAGGTCGGCGACTACGAACAAAGACCATGTAGTAAAACGTATCATTACAGCATGCCAGTGACTAGTAAACATGCAAAAACTTCGTACATTCACTGATTTCTTTATTCATTTTGTTAGCTTTGTGCTGCCAAAGAAAACAAGACCAATATGTATTAGTCATGTCGTCCAGATACGGTTGGGACCTCTAACACGGAACTATGCTCACAACGCCGGCACAACGAAGGTTAAAACAAAGATTATTTGTAAAATATAAAATTTGCATAAAACTTCATATTATTCGTAAGGAAATAAGATAACATACGTTAGAGCAAACGTTCTGGGATATAAACGCAGTAAGCTAGAAAAAGTTGCTCTTTAGGATGAACCTCCAACTGTTGGTCAACTTCAACTGTTAGACAAACTCAGGAAAATGACAGCCCTTTGTGCTCCAGGGACAACGCTCTATTCTGCATCTCCAAAATAATCATCGGTAGGAACGCAGGAACACTTGAAGTGAGTTTGGTGGAGCGCCGTTCGATTATAAGCTTCCCAATCAACACGGAATATTCGGAAAGGGGCCATTCAAGTTCTGGAGTGGAATAGTGTTCCCAGGTCTATAGCCTGTTGGTTGCACGGTTGATTGAATATGGGAGGATTAAGACCTAGATCGTTTGCACCACCCTATGAAACATGAAGAAAATATAATGAATTTTGTGGGCTTACTCGGTATTGCATGACATGGAAAGGAAAGCGTTGCGTTTTCCCACACGCTTCGTATGGGTGCACCACCGATTTTTCTCAACATCGATTACATTTTTGATGATTTTCTCTCACTCATTTCCCACCTTTCATATCGAGACGCTACCCCTTTTCACCTCTGCTCAGTTTCCATCAAAATCCGCGCAGAACTTAGAGATTTGTTTTCAGAGCACTGCTTCAGCCGTTCTATGAATTGGAAGTGCAATGGACGAGAAGCTTTTGGAAAAGTTTGCCAACCCACAGAACTTCTGAAACGCAGTGCATAGATGAAGCCATTCATTCGGTAACCCACATCAAGCGTAACGGCACAATCGCATTTGCTTCCAAAAAACCCCACAATACTCAAATGGACAAAGTCGGACAGTAAAAGGACTGCATGCTTTGTTAACAGGACAAGGCACACAAGCTTGAATTAGCTTCTCTGCCCGTCATGACTGTTCTGCTCCTACCACTCTCTGATGGTAAAGAGCCAACGTAAGAACAGTCACGGTGGGCAGCTGCTATTGATAAGTAGCGCTACATAAAATAGTACTTACCGTCGCCGCCTGAGATAGCATGAAAATAAAGAAATTAGATGATACCGAAAACCAAGAGAAGTGATGATGGTGATTGAAGATCATAGTTCACATTCACACAGTACCAAACTTTTGAAAGGTCAAAACATATAGATATTGTTTAACACCGAAAAAATCAGAAAAAAACAAACGCGCCGGTTAGAGCTGAGGCTGTGACGTTTTTGGGCACGGTTCCACATGATACCATTGCGATACAAAAACAGGGGCAAATCACCAGCTCACAGCCGGTGCCATGTTTTGCCTAACAGGTCACTTCCGACAAAACCGCCTAACAGAGTAGTGGGCCCGGAAACCCAATGGATAGCTTGCTCATGAACGTTAACTTCACGCCCATTAGGAATTAGAGCTAGAATGCAAAAGTAGTTAAGATTGAACTCTTGAAAAAGAAGAAGGTAGAATTCTTGGACCTGATCATATCCTTTCGCAAAGTCCCCACGCATTTAGCCTTCACTAAGGAATACTGTAGCGGGCGACCAATTCAAGAACTGATCCCCGGGCTATGTATTTCCACCTTGTACTAACATATCACCCTATTATAATTACTAACGGGACAATTGGAAGCGCATGGTATACCCAAAACCTAAGAAAACTTCTAGAGAAAGTGTAAAAGAGTGAACTCGTTAACCCAAATGATTGTGTTTTAATTGCTCATAAATAGGTGATATCGAAGAAAGAGTCCCGAAAGGTCTTCAAGAATCAAAAATATCGCCCATATTGTGCGAACAAATGATGGCACCGACTGTGAGATACTGCAGCGAAATCCTCTGTACTTGTATTTGGGACATGGAACCGTACCGGAAAATTTTTCACGACCAAACAGACTCGTGAAATACACTGTTATTTCTCGTTTACTAACACAGTTATGAAAAAAAGGGTAGATACAATATAACATATCGACCCCAAACAGCATGCGTAAAAACCGCAATTGACACGCCTCTAGAACCGCCTAGTGTGCATATTCAAAAAAAAGTACAGAGAACAGCACGCCTACCCAGAGGGGGGACAGAATACAGAAAAACGACAAAAAACGCACGACAGATTGATAGGAGCAAGAAGAAAACACTAGCACTTTACCATAAGGACTACAAGTATGGTTGTACAAAGTTTTCTGCAGGGACTGACCTTCCGCATAAGAATATACGCTTGTGGGAACAATTTTTTTGACTACGTGAGATTTCAGAAAGGGAACGCTAATATCAGCAACTGATTGTCCTAATCAGGCAGTAATCCTTTGGTTTTTTGCATTATTGTACCGGACCTTACTTCGCTTTTATGATGATCTGATCTGCCTGCAGGATAGCCATGAGAAGGAAGCGCCGGGAGACGGGCGTTAGGAACGATTTTGGGTAGTCGATTCGCCGCACGCGGCTGTCGCGGACCACTCATTCGCCGTTATTACAGCTCTAGCGTTCTTCATACAGCTCAATCGATATGCGATAATTATTTTATGCATAATTCTACTATTAGTACTTTCGTTCTCGTACTTCTTACCTACTGCTGCATCCTGTTACATTCCTTCGCGCGCGACGTCCCTCTAACTGCGATGCGACAATTTCGTTCCTACTGCAACACACCCGGAAGCGCCAGATGCCGGGCCTTCTCGTATGCCTAACATGACGCTCTATCTATTTGATGCCTCACCGTATCCGTAAACTATGCATCTGTAGCCAAATATTTTCAAAACTTCGTATAAACGGGTCTACAAGAGTAGCAGATATCGACAGTCTGCCTGCTCGGGGAATGTGGGAGCTGCACAGGCTGGGATCGATATTGTGTAAATGCACGGATTCCACCAAATAACGGATATTCTCGATCCGCAATATCTCGAAAACAAAATGCGATTGACCATGAGGATCTAAATAAACCATGAAGATTTTTACAGCAGCCTTCGAAAAAGATTGGCCCGAAGAGTTCCAAAAATATGAAATCCCGTGGGGTGCCAAAACTCCAAAGTAAAGCAGCACCGAATGACAACCAGTTGCTAATAACACTTTGTATAAAAAATCCTCACTCAGAATCGAAAACATCGTATGGTTCACTACCTCATAATCACAATAACACAATTTAATTTTAAAAGGATAATAAATTATCTACTACAAAAAGTTCGACAAGGGTGTAGAACGCACCTTCGAATGTGTCGTCTCCGTCGGCCATCAACTCGTCATCGGAGCAAATATTCAAAATGTGCACCAACATTTCCGTCACTAAATAGTTGATTCTGGTAAGTGACTAACAGGATCTCACTGTACTTGAAATTGAAGGCCCAAAAATGAAGAGGTCCATGGTGCAATTTCAGTAGCTGACTTCTAAGTTCAACAAAACAACAGAAGAGTTCGCGGTTCTTCTATGGAGTGGTACTAGTACTCTGCGCTTGGTAGTACTAGAGTAAAGTGAAGTGAACTTGTCATGTTGTGGTAGCTAACAAAGTCATGCCAAAGTGAACTCAAATTACACAATCACATCACGTCATTACTCTAGTAAGAGGTAGCTGTAGTGATTTCCTTACCGAGCCATTGAAAGAAAGAAAATCGTGTTTGCTTTTTTCCAGGATCGTATATACTGCTAATCTTGTTGCATGAAATAAGCACTACGACCAACCTTTCTCGCCCACAAAGGGTAGAGACCAGGTGAACACATCCATGAAATTCGGCAACCAATATGGATGTGGACTGCAGTTAAATTGCCGAATGTTCATCACATTATTCTCGTATTTCAGGATAGCCGCTGAAGAAATCAAAAATCATAAAAATGAAACCTAGAGGCAGGCCCACTGGGCAGGACAATTTTGAGGATGAAAAAAGAAATGCAAGTATGGTTGACCAGTAGGTCATTTAACAGCAACATATGTCGCTGGTCTCGATGCCCACTCTCTAAAAGAATTCATCCAATCAAAACATAGGTAAACATACCTTTGTTGTTATATACATCGAGATAATTGGGAGCACTAAATATGGTAATGAGTGAAGGAAATCCCGTCGCTTGCGATTTTCGGTACATACGATACCTGAAGATATACAGATTACCAGAGATTTTCGAAAAGCACTTTTATCACCATGGGGAAGTTAAACTTGAGTACAAAGAAAGACTAATGATTTCGTGTCATACTTACCCCGCATCCTGAGCTTCGTGCGCACGTATTATGGATAAGAGGTTGTTGTGTTGAAGGAAGTCACAACACGCAGCATAACTGAAAAATATGAATTTGGAAAACCAGAGGGGGAAATTCATTTCACTAACAGCGCTCTCAAACCCTGGCTATTTTGATGTCAGCCTCACTAGTTCCCTGATAAAGCCCATTCGTACGTATAGGAAAAAAAGTCGTAGACCATTGTTACAGAATAGAACCACACAAAGTAGCTTTGAAAGACAGGAACGTGAGTCGGTGTCTGAGTCACTCGCATACTTCTCCCTCACCATAGTTCGTCCATACTCCCTCTACTCCCAAACCACACCCCATAGCATAGCACTCGGGATGGTGATCTGATGCGCCGCGCGCTACTTGCGTGGAAAACGACGATAGAGTCGAAGTGGTCCCTTCGAGACAGAGCAGTTTATTTCCAAAAACGTAGGGTGAGAGCAAAGCTATGAAGAGAAAAGTTTTGATTCAAAACAACATCAGATACCATTCGCTAATTTCCAGGAAATTAAGAAGTCATAAAGACTCAAAGATAAGCGGCAGCTGACTTATGGGAGACAGTGGTGCAGGTTTGGCGAAAAACTGCACCAGAGCAGAGCGAGTAATGTACTGGATAACACATCAAACGAAACTTGTAGTAAGAAAAAGAACCTACCGTCATGAAAAGAAAAAAGAATTGAATCAATTGAAACAATGTCTCACCTATAGAAGTAGGAGCATCCTCGTACCGAGTTGTGACTAAACTGTTCAGCATTCCTCTCGCTACCAAAATCTTCTAAAGGATCCGACCATAATAGGTCGCACATCGGTCCAAACGCTGGGGGCTCTTTGAAACGATCCAACTAAAACAAAAATTTCTATTTCATACGGATTTCCTTAGGAAGTTTCTCACAGAAATCAGCAATCACGGAGAATGGTCCTCTGAGGACTGTTCTAAGATCAGGCGGAACTACCGCAGTATGGGCCCTCAACTATCAACCGCTACGCGACGGTTTTCATGAGTATAGAGTATATGCTAACAGGAGACAACTTACCCTTTTAATGTCGTCGAGGGTATGAATTTCAGGCGAAAGTCCACCATGAACACATAGGAACTGCTGGTTCATCAACGCTGCCAACGGTAACGCATCGAACGAATCCATACAGGCATCGTACACGCGCTCCGAATACTTGATTTTGCCTGAATAAACAAATTTGAAAATAATTTTTTTGCAAATTGACAAAACAGTACCAGTTATTGCCCTTTATTCGGACAGCAATACCGTTGGAAATGAATGTTAAGCGAACACAGACAACATGATATTTCCGGCGATGGATTTCCTTATTCCGGAGGTGAATGTGATTTGTTCAGTTCACACCCCTTGACCGAGCAGCACTTAATCTGTTTCCGTTTCGTAAGTTTGTAGGAATTTGCAGGCTTCTATTTCCTATTGAAAGTGCTCGCGACAGTTGAAAAAAGCTTCCAGTAAGAAACCGTCAGTTATAGGGCTTCATCAAGAAAAAGCAGGGATTCCTTCAAGACGTGGTCTGCCCCAACAACATCGGGAATTGAAAATGGAATGAGGATATGGGGCATTTTGCAAAAACAGCAAAAATCTGAAGAAGTTTAAACATTATAAGCGGCATCTAGGCTTTGTCACACTAAACCTATGACCGCCGAGAACGATCCTAACTTCAGTACTAGTGCTATTTGGCGGTATTCCAAGAGGTACAACTTCGCAGGTACTTCTGAACGCACATGATATCAGCAGCAAAGCCTCGTCGTGGGTCAAATTTACGTGGCTAATATTGCGTAATAGGCAGTCGGCTCAACCAAATGGCACAATTTTCGACAGAATTAAGGTAGCTAAAACAAGCTGAGGTAGGGATTCAGAAAGAATATCCCCATACCTTATACAAATCACCCACACAACCACCATCAACCAAGTGACTTTCCTATCCCATGAGAACCACGATGGACTCCACTAAATGCCGTTTCTTTACATAAACTGAGTATCTGCACTACTTCCAGAGTTCAGTTGCTTCGAACAATGTTTGAATTCTGAGTTTTCCCTTGCTTAGTACAGAGAATCTATATGTGGTCTGTGCGTTCAGGATGCCGCTGTCGCCAAGGCGACCATGACTGGCAAAAGCTAATCAGAGCACACGATATAATCCTAGCATCCGATACGTCACTACAACGCAATCCATTATCATTAGAACTCAGCACTCTTGCTAGTACTCCAATCTCAAACTAGAGTTAATCCCGAAATAAGTCCAGAGGTTTAGGGATTGAATCAAAAAAAACTCAAATCCTATTTGCAACGTAGTGGCATTCGAACACACATTCTGCTAGACACTTGGGGGGTTTCGACAACATGGAATTGCAAAATTTCAACTCATATACAGGAGTGATTGAATGTTTTTGACAGGTAAAGGTGAGTCCGTTCAATGAGCTAGGATGGAACCCAGTCAAGTGTAGGTAAAACATTCAGACACTCCACCCTGAGCCAGTAGACTTAGGTAGGGATCCACATAAGGTACGGTAAGCCCAATCGAATAAGTGACCTTGCTAAGTTGCTCAACAAAAGGTTGCCTAGTTGCCAGGAGGAAAGCAGGATCCTAGAGTCGTTAAAAGTGTTGGGATACAATCTAGGCAAAATACTAAACGAAGAGCGCAGCAATATTTTCATAAAGAAGGATGGAACAACTGTTTTCTTGACATGTCCGAAATGGGTTCGGTCCACATAACTCGCATTTCGACCTCTTGATGGATGACAGGTCGCAATAAAGGAAATACAAATGGCTCATTGAATCGAAATCCTATGAATCTACTTTGGAAGACACATAAATCATGATCAATAATAAAAAAAAAATAGGAAATTTAAGTTGGGAAAAGAATTGCACCACAGTTTCCGAATTTCAGAACAACTTACATTCTTGTTTGAATGTGAAGTATTCGGTAAGATGACGACACTCGTGGTTGCCCCGTAAAAGGAATAATGTGTTCGGATAGCAGATCTTCAATGCCCAAAGGTATAAGACGCATTCAATTGAAAAGTATCCTCGATCAACGTAGTCACCCAGGAAGAGATATTTCGTAGAAGCTGGTGAACCACCGACCTTAAATGCACAGTAATAAATAGTAAATAGTAAATTAATAATAATTCAGCAACTGAAAAAAGCTTGAAAACCTGCGAGTTGATAGAGGGAGTCAACGACTTTTAGGGCTTCAAATGAAAACTTTATGAAGAGCTCACTTTATGAGGGGAAGCAGGCCACCAAATTCTCGCAGGTTCCAAAATCTAAAGCAACAAAGGCTTAGTGTAAGATACCTCGAACAACTTCATCAGGTCGTAGAATTGCCCGTGAATATCGCCACATACTGTAACCGGCGCTTCAATATCTAGCATAGTTTTTTCCTGCCGAAATAATGCTGTACATTCCTGGATAATGCGTATGGCCGCGTCTTCTTCAATTCGACCCTCCTTAAAATTTGACCTTTCTTCTAAGGAAAACAGATATCAATACTGAATATGGAAGAAACTTCCTAATCATTTACCTTAATAAAATAATCTCTGAGAACATCATGGCGAGGTTTTCCCGTCCGCCGATCGAAAACCTGTTCTACATTCAACCGATCCGACACCGGATACTGCACACCTGGAAAGAAGAAATTGAATCAGTCGGGCTAATGAACCCTTCGCAACCCCAATTTCCTATATAACCATTAGATACAATCTTTTTATACTTCTAGTTTTTCTGTGTTTATTGTCATTCCTGAGCATTAGCGCTGCGCCCGGAAATTCCCCTCGCGATGCACAATTCCATGACAGCTCATTTTCACAGCTGCCCCGCACGTCACATATGCTGCCTTCAATAATACAACGTCGACTGACTTGAGGGCTTGATTCAAAACTAATTTGGGAGTGAGACTTTCCAACAAAAAACAGGGTTAAATCAATGAAACAATCAGAATTGCCTCTCGATACCCCATTGACCATTCCGTGGATGGAGAAATAATACTACAGAAATATAATTTCTCCTCAGCTTATCTTGCCTCTGATTCCCTGTAGCCCTGTTCAAAATCTTCATAGACTTCAGCCCTTTCGTTTCGAATGTTTCCACTCCTGCAGATTCGCCTCATCCGCAGTATTGTTTGAAGTTTGCGCTTAAGCGAAGTACTGCCGCATATACTTTTCCGTCTACGAACCCTGAAATCCGCTCAGAGGAGGTGTGTGTGTGTGACCAGCTCAGACGTGCGGATAATGCCCGCTTAGACAGCATACACTAGTTGCTTGCCGTCGTGGCTATCGACCGACCGATGAACGAAAGAGAGGAGCGCCTTGCCTCCTGCCTCCGTCCGCTGTCTCGCTGCTGCTATGCTTCGTCGTCCTTCGAACCTCGCCTCTGCCTTCTCCCTCCATCCACCCCCACCCACTCTACGTCATCCGCTGAAAGCGACTAGCCGCCCGTCCTAGACCGCATTGCTGCACAGCACATCAATCGGAAAATGCGCACCATTTCAATTCAAGCTCAATTTGCAACGCCAATCGCTTCGCGTCCACCACGGAGGAGCCGCGCACATCGATTCAGCGCCATGAACGGCACCACTGTCGCCTATGCGCAAAAACTCTTAGCAGCAAATGAAACATGCACAAGCTTACAGGATTATCCGCATGATTCCGCTGACAAAAACGCAGGAAAAGGGAACTTTGGACATAAACAAGCCGACATTTCCAACCTTGCCATTGTGAACAGCGAACCGATTCCATAAAGGACTCAGATAGACTCCTTTGGACTCCGGTGTATAGATGCTAATGAATACCATGCAGTTAAAGATCAGCCAAGTGAATGAGAAAATATTGGATGAGAATTTGAAGTATTCAACATCTTTCCTCACAGAGGATACCCATTATTCAGTACGAGGGGGCTTATCCGAAAAGTTAGTATAAGACCCCCTCGTACTGAATAGTGGGCATTTGCCATGTTCACGCATTTAAATTTCTATAACAGTCCTAGATGAGGGACAACTTCAGGCCCAGAAATAAGAAAAAAAGTATAATTAAGCATTCCACTAAAAGTTCTTGAACATTGAGGCTTCCCTTACAAACGAAAAAGAACTCTGACAGCTGTAGGGTAGAGGAGCCTCATTTTTAGCTTTTATGTATATACTAACACCCTTCAGGAGTAGATGTTTATTACAAATGATGGAAATCAAGCCTTCCATCCCAGATAGCTACGATGTGCTGAGTTGGATTTGAATTCCCCCTATGAACCACTTTCCAACAGGACCCCTCCATGCAACCTTCGTTTCCCGTCATCTCATCCGCCAGCTACGCACCACCCTTCAGTTCTCCCCAAAGGCCGCCGTCATCATTCTATGCGCTTCATGCTTCTCGTCATTTGGCATAAACAGGTGAAAAAAGAGCTCGGAGGAAGGAAGTCTCGGGATTCATGATAGTTAAAGCTGAAATGAAATCCAAACCTCAGCGATTGAATCAGAAGATGAATATGTTTCCTTCTAGATAATGCTTTTTTTTCCTAATTGTATGACAGAAGTCTAGGGTGGGTCTTTGAAACGAGGTAGCAACTGATATGTGATCATGATAAACAGATCGCTGAAAAAGCTCCCACGTGGGAAACCTCTCCCACGCACATCTCACAAATCAAGTCATCCTACCTTATGGCAAATAACTCGTACATAAATTGCTGCTGCAATATCAATCCCTCCCTTTCCACACCAAGCATGGCGATAAATTTTCCCCAAACGCCTACCGAGCAACAAGCGGATGAAAATGGCGGACTACTTGAACGAGCAAAACCTCATTTACCATTCCACAGCACATGCCTAGCAATGCCGTTTCACGTCTCCAAAATGACAGGCTTCAACCAAGCATGACGGCCGCAAAGACGCCAATTACCGTGTTAGAGAAATTGGTGGCAAATTCGGTGAAATGTGAAAACTCCAGCCTACCAGAGTAGCGACCCAGGTATCCATATCAGGCTGAAGTTTTCCATTTTGTTTCGATCAGGTTTGAACAATTGGGAATTCACAGCGATGCTGCCGATCCGACAGCAAGCCTATCAAGCTATTTAAGAAACGTTCAACTTAAAACTAGTTGGGACACAACGGCTAGCAATTTGCGAAATTTCCCCAGGGAAGCAGTTCGCTCTGGAAAACTACTCTAGCATATAACACATAATGATAGCCTAATCTTCTTCTTTCACGACCTGCTCTCTTTTGGGTTCCTGATTAGACAGAGAAAGGGGGAAAATGAGAAATCATGTCCTGATTAACATTGATCTTGCAGATAAATATGTGTAAATAAGTTCCAGTGATATGAAATATCACTGCAAAGCAATTCCTTCAGATAGTAAACGATTGAAAGGGGTAAAACTGAAACAAAGGCATTCGATTGATCAAGAACTGCAACCTACAGAGACATCAGGTGAGTCATCAAACACCTTGAGGATAAAGATTCCACCACTAACGGTGAGCAACAGAGCCATGAAATCGCTATATCGAAAGTACTCGAGGAATTTTTCAGTCTAGGGGAAAACCAGAACTTTTGCCGATGGCAGAGACCAGTTACTTAGAGCACGGCAAGAACAGATTAATGGATGCCTACATTCAAACAATGAACGCCACAATCCAGTACAAAAATCTTCGACAGCAAAGAAGAGAGGCGGTCTCTTGGTCTGGTTGGTTTGCGCCGCACTATTATATATCTGGTGACAACTTTCAAGATCGGAGGGGAAATAGTGGTCATAAGTAGATTCTTCTCGACACCTAGGCATGATCCCTTTGCCCATATTTGTAAAACCACAGGTGTTCATCCCAGGATTCCGAAAGATAGTCTCAACTACATGTTTCTCAAGTTTCGTCGCGCTTCGGCAGCTTTCTAAAAAAAGCCCGAGATAATTCGGCGGTTACGTGAAGAATGAAAGCCGACAAAAGCTTTGGTGAAATTCACCGACATAGAACACATATAGGAACCGAACTTAGTAAAACATACCGTGTAAAACAAGGCAAACTCCTTATAGATTTTCAGCCCCAATTTCTCATAATGAAACCAACAACAGTTTTTGCCCATTTTCTTTAGCAGCTTCCTCAGGATTCCAGAAAAAGATCGGGAACAACTTCAGTTAGAACTGATAACACTCGAAAAATGTGAATTTGAATGCAGTGACAAGTGTTTGCCCATATAACGAAGTTCAAGACAATGAATACCATGAAATTTGTCCCTTTATCTTTGAAGTTTGCCAGCAATTCTACCATTTTTCGAAACCTTCGGGTATTCGAAAGGGGCCCATGAAGGTCTCGAATTCAAGCGGATGCCATTTGACAAGAACCACGCGGAACTCGCGTTTCGTTCAGTTCTCACCTAAACCGAATACGATTCTCAAGAGACCAACTTTGGGCAGCCATCTTTTGCGAATCATGTCGCGGCCCCTGCGCTCGCTCCACTGCTTTGAGCATCATCGGCGCATTCAGAAAACTTCCCGTCAGACATGTGCTTCTCACTCGCCTATTCCTTATGCTTCAGGATTGAAAATGCGAGATTCAAGGCCTACTTTCAGTGTGGACATTCCAGGACTCTTCAATGCAATCAGAAGATAGCGACGGAGCAGGGTTTCTGTACAATTTCTCCATGACAACGTCGTCCCGCACCGCGTAAAACCCATCATATACATTGTGAAAGCTGTGCTAAGATACCGTTCCTTCTTTACTCTTTCTGCCTAAGAACCTCGGCCTTAGCACCACCTTCAAATCGCTCTGGTCGACTTTTCTGTTTCCAGCGGTTTTAGATCTGCGAGGAGGATATCTCATTGACTGAATGCCGTTGATATCGTGGAATGGGATTATACCCTGGTGATTACGTATTCGATCAAAGGTTCACATGATTTTGAGGACTTTGGTGTAAACCAAAGATGAACTTTAATGAACTCCTCAATATCTACCTTACTACTTGGCCAATCAACTAATACCGAGAGCATTGTCAAATCTCAAAAGTAATATGTGTCATTCCCTCAAAATCAATAACTACGAGAAAAAACTCACAGAGCAATAGTATAAGAAAGAAAGTAATAATAATAAGCCAATCAAAATTATAAACGGAAAACGGAACGTCGAAAATGAGAAGGAGTATGCACGTACTTTTCACAACACGCTCTGTATACTGCTTTGTGTCCTTCGCAGCTGTTTGTGAGTTGTTCGGATTACCAGAAGTATCTGAACATTCATAAGATCGGAGACATTATCGAATGACTCCGTACGTTAAAAAAGAGCTCGAGACTGAAAATTCAGAGCTCCATCTGATAACATCGAATTTGTTTCAATAGGAAGGACAGGTCTACGGCTTATGAATCCTGATAATTAACCCTACTTTTCCAACATTCAAGTGTATATTATGACAAAGGTTTTTGCGGTAAATGCTAGAAAGTTTCCTCAAAAATAATAATTCAGTTAAACGACTGAGACTTCAAAAGAAATCTCGTCAAAAAACACCTCTACTCTCAATAGCGGTCATGAATTTCACTAAGTAGGAGGTAGTGACAGATGTCACGAAAGTCACGTATAACGGCCCGAGCCACGATTTCATCCGCCCTTCTCTACTCACACATACATATCGAACTAGGACTCCTAGTAGTGGCTTATTACACTGGGTAAACAATCACGGTCAATAACATACTATGTAATGCATACTCACCTTGCCCGGAGGATGTAGAGGCCATTGGAAATAGTAGACGACGTTGACGAATTAGATAAGGCCCGTGTATTGAGGCGCTCTACCACATACCACTTCCGATCTCTCGCAACAAAACGGGACACCAGCCTGAAAGCACTGACTCATAGAGGCATTTGCTTCAAAAAAAAAACATGGGATTCATGTGACGAAACGAAATTCGAGATATATGCCAGGCCAGTACAATCAAATTGGAACTTATGCACCTAATGAACTCAATCCGTTCAATTATAAGAATCATTGACATCAAAGATTCTTAGACTGACGTGAAAACAAGGCAGAACAACAAAAATAAAAACAAAAAATAATAAAGACGAGAATAGCAGCAGATATGCTTGGTTCTTAGTCACAGACGCAATCGAGTTTGTTAAGCCACAGCTTATGGATGCTATGGGAAAGGTGCTCATAAAGGAACAAATATGAGTTGAAATAAAAGAACAAAAAAGATGCTCGAGCACATTTTGAACGAAAAACCCAAACTGCCATTGACTATACGCAATTAGAATGGTGAAGAAACCTTCATAACTGAAGAAAAATTCGTCATAAAAAGAAAAAAATCATCATGAAAGGTGAAAACGTTAATCTTCTCTCTTACCGAGGTTATTTGGGAGGCTAACTCCGTGGTGTTAATGGCCAAACCCATGCACATGCGGGCAAAATATAATGGAACCAGTAAGAACAAATATTACAATGATCAGAAACAAATCTATCAAACATATGCGCATGTTTCCAGCTGTTGATTCAACATTACAGCGTCCATAATGACATAGAGAAAATGCTAACGGAACAAGTATTTGCTGTTGCGTCCCCGCTTGTCTGCGCCACACGTTTACAACCGAATCAGCTGATCTATCCCCCATGTCATTCTAGCTGGCTGTGTATTCATATGGAACAGTTGTTCAAATGAAATATTCTCATAGGATTATAAAATAGTTAATTACATTAAATTGCGCATCAGTTTTATACAAAACGGAAGTACTGGAAAGAAAAATGAATCTAACAAAATAAACCATTATGAACCACGTGCAATATGCAGGCGAATGGTAATGGCATCAATGAGCATTCAGTGTTACACAATGTT